GGGGATGGTAGGGGGAAAACAATGGAGGGGCTAACAATGTTCAAGAGGAAGTGTACTCATTACCTCACTCATGTAACTGTAACCCTCTGTATAGTATCTTTACAATAAAAAATTAAAAAAAAAGAAATAGACTGAGAAGGACTTGAAATGCAGGGCCCGAGTCACTCCTGTGAGTAGATAAGCAAAGTGGGTGAGGCTGAGGGTAGCCTCCTACAAGCTGAGATTTTCATTTTGGGGTACCACAGAGGATAGATGAAGCTCCCAACTCAGACATAGAGCTTGTAACTGGACCCAAACAGTTAAGGAGAGCTGGGCTATATCCAAACTCAGCCAGGAGAAGATTCTGTGGTAAGTTGGAGATGGAATGATCCACCCTCCTCATCCCCACCCTCCTCATCCCCACTAGGGCTCTGACAGAGAAGGATTTGTTCTCATCTTATAGATGAACTCAGATAAGTGAGGCAATCATCTTCTTGGCCATAGTGCTAGGCAGTAGGAGAACTTGGATTGATAGCTAGGTTTGAGTCTGATTGTTCCTCCATCTCCCTGTGCAGAAAAGAAGGTGGGAAAACCACTCAAGTGGTTTACAAGGCTGCCTGGGGTGCAATTCCAGTGCCATGCTAAGACAAGGCATCCTGGAGGCAGTCAGATTACTTAGGTGGCCCCTAAATGGAGGAAACATAGGAAGGAGAAGGAAGCTGGGCGCTGGTGGCTCACACCTGTAATCTTAGCTACTCAGGAGGCTTAGGTTTGAGGATTGTGGCTCAAAGCCAGCCTGGTCAGAGAAGTTCCTGTGAGACTCTTATCTCCAATTAATCACTCAAAAACCAGAAGTTAAGCTGTGGCTCAAAGTGGTAGGATGCTAGCCTTGAGCAAAATTGCTCAGAGACAGTGCCCAGGCCCTGAGTTCAAGCCCCACAACCACCACCAACAATAACAAAAGATAGACACACTCATATACTGCCTGAGTGGATGTAAATTGGTACAATTTGTTGTATAACAGTGTGCTTAGATATGAGAAAGTTTACATTTTCTCTCAAGGACTAGAAACAATCTAATACCCAACAATTACAGGAACACAGCCAAGGGGCCTGGGCAGCCCACTCTAGCTGGGAGGAAGGATCCTGTAGAAGTAAGGAATGTGCAGATTTGGGGAAGACAGTGTTGCCAGCAAATATAACAAGACAGAGACCCAGGAATCAGGTTTAAGACATTGATTTGGAAGGAGGGAGTTGTTATAATCAACATATATACATGAATGCATGGTTTCATCTATTTAGGGGAACAAAACATAGTCATCAAGAAAACGAGACTTCATTCAGGAGGACTTGGTTCAAGTCTTGGCACCAGCACTACTATGAAAAGTAGGGCAGGTCACCGGACCTTGCCTTGGC